TTCGAGCCACGATTGCTTGTTTCTTGCTACCGGATATGTGAATAAGATCATGCCTAATCATGTTTTTCCCGCGCGGGTTAGATCGTTTTTCAAAGAGGTGAAAGTGTGACTTCACTGGAGCTTCCCTATGGAGTTATATTACTACTCTCAATACAACAATAGCTTTGGAACGATTAAAAAAATTCCATCAAAAATTTCTAACTAAAAATTGAATTATGTCTGGAGAAAAACCACACCGAGCAGATATATTTTGTCATTTGCTCCGAAAATTGTAATAAACAACAGTTTTTATTAATTTTGTCTCTGCTCCATTTCAGTTCGATGCACATACTGTTTTGTATGGTCGTAGTTCATGGTGTTTTTGTCTCTTTGTCTGCATCTATTCATCTGTCTGACTCTGTGCATGTGCGAGTGTGTCTATATGGCTGAAAATGTGTCGTACGACTCCTGAGTGATTGACAGCTCCAGAGTGTGAGTGGACTGGGTGTGTCTAAGGGTGTGCACCAGCTGATTAATCCATTTGTTCAATGCTCTCCGGTAGTGTGGGTTCAACAGGGCATACAGCAGCGGATTCAGCGCACAGTTCGTATACCCTTCACACAAAACAGCCTTACACATCATATCATTAATGTCCTCGTATATACAAAAAATTCAATCGTATAGATACAGTCACATGCTACACACGTAAGGAACATATGAACGCATCAGCAAAAAACAGAAGAAAAAAGAAATAATTTGAGCGCAACCTTCAGGTTCTGCCCCCCCCCCCCCCCGCGCAATCAACCCCCCCTCCCTAAATCCGCCCCTGGTTCACGTTCTTTTAAAACATATATCCTTTCCATTTTTTAATCATTGCTATTTGCGCGAATAGTGATTTTGCTTTTTAAATTTGTTTGTGGCTCAAAACACCTGACAAATAAGTTGGTCCGGCTGATCGATTACATTTAAAATGAGCTTCACATTACATCATACTTTAAAATCCGAATTGCCTAACAGCCATTTGCTTGTGTTTCACCTGCGTTCAATGATAGTGGTGGGGAGGGGGGTTTGAATACTCTGCAGTACGTAGTTTGGGGGGGGGGGGTCAAAAATAAAAGGGGTGGGCATTTTTTGAACAAAAAAGTCGCTTTTTATTGCGGGGGTTCAAAATTATCAGGAGGGGGTCCGCAACTTTGGATCAATTTGATAAATATTTTGGCAAAATCAAACCAAAAACTTTCTTGAACTTAAAAATTTAGCTAACATTATAGTTATTTAATCCAGACGACATTTTTTTGCGTTGAAAAAATAGGATATACTTAACAATCTCCCCCTATGGTATAAACTTAATAATATCCACCCCTGTGATTAAATTCAGCAAATTAGCAGAGCTTTCTATTGCAAATTATAATTTTGCTGATTTCTTATTGGTAGAAAATTCGACAAATTTAATCTGCTTAGCAATCCCCCCCCCCCCCTTTTCTTGAAGGGGGATTGTTAAGTAGATCCAAAAAACAGTTTTTTTTTAGTTGGAATACCCAAAAGTGGCATACCCAAAAGTGGCAGAATTTTGTGTATAAATTTTATAGTGGCCCCAAAATTTGGGAGGGTCAGTATTCTAGGGGAGTTGGGTCTATGAAGAAGTCGATTTGTGTTGGAAGTGGGGGGGGGCTCTTTTTCCTTACCCCCCAACCGCACACAAAAATGAATTTTATAGTGTAACGAGTGATTTTACAAGGTTTATTATGAGGACCAAATATGTTTGTCGTAGCCTAATTAGTCCGTATGTCAATTTTCATAACAATCGAACAATGTGAACAAAATTTTTATTTGTAAAATTTTGCAGGTGGGGGGGGGGGGGGGAGGGGGAGGAAAAAGAGCCCCGGGGGAGAATGCATGCGGATTGAGATAGATGCCTAGTAGGGTGGTGTATTTGAAGTAGGTCGAGTCTATTTCTATAGGGGAGAAGGGCAGCTGAAGGGAGTGGACGAAGAAGAGGAATTGATCTGGGAACCAGCAGAGGAAGAATACAGTGGACACTGCGAAACACGACACTGTCACCTTCCGCAGTCCCTGCACGCGAGGGTTCCTCCTGCCGGCAACAACGCCACGGCCTCCTTCAATATAAACAACACATCGGCTCTTTTCCAGTTCCCCCCTTTCAAAATACCGGGTTTTATGTTTGTTTTACGTGTTATTAGTTATTAGTACGGTTAATGCGTGATGTTACGCTGTAAAGTATGAAGAACAAATCTGTTCACAGTTGTCGATTTGTTCACCACGCCAAATTTCATTGCATTATGACAACGTTAATTAAGCTTATCAAAATTGAATTTGAAAGGGGGACGGAACTGGAAAAGAGCCAACACATCCTATTAGATGCAGTAGCCGTTACAGTTACAGTTTTTTAAGTATTTTGCTATTAATTTACCGTACTAACAGATGGAGTTTTCAACCAAGCCCATATTGCATTGTCAACCCTTTCTATTGGATTCCGCTAAGCGTACTTAATCTCAAATGCGGACCTAATCTAGTCTCAATTGTGTATATAGTAGTTAACACTTTTGATCAAATATCAATTTGAGATCAAATAGTTATTTTGATTCCCAGTTCTATCAGCGGGTGGATGAATCCTACGACAAGGACAGCAGCTTCCACGAAATTATTAATGACAAGGACAGCAGCTTCCATAAAAACTTGGCCAGAACAGGATCTTTTTAGTGCTCTGGGAGAGCTCGGAAAATCAATTTGGTCGACCTAAAAAAAGGTCGACAAAATTTTGGACACTTTGTTTGAAAATCCGCCTCCCCCTCGAGAAAATCCTGAATCCGTCACCGTTCTCTTGCATATTTTGGTTGAATCAAAACTTGTTTCACACAGTAAGCTCAAAATGATGCTAGAATTTAAACAACGAGGGCAACTCCGAGCATAATAAAAAGTGACATTAGGCAAAGCTATAGCTAAAAACCACAAGTCGGACATATTGATCAGTTTTTAATTCTAGAAGCCGAGGAAAGATAACTCACACTGGGTAACTGGTTCAAATCTAGATCGCACACCGTCCCAATTCGGTGGCGGGTGATCAAAAGAATTAGTATGCTAGCCTTGTGTCCGCCAGAGCATTTTCCCCCCTTTTTTGCCCAAGCAAGATCCTTCGTAAAAAACAGACTTTATTTTTTCAACTTTGCGTTGATATAAATCAAATGCATTTTCTGTAAGCACCCTTGAGGGAACTGCACGATCTGAATATAATCCAGTAGACCTTCGTGGTTCGATTTAGTTATCTAACATAATCAATATGGATTCGTCGAACTGATCGAACTGACACTTTTGTAAGTTCGAAATTTGTTGAAACATGTCTTGGCTGTTCGAATTTGGTCCAAGGTCAAAACATAAGTTATGCTGGTCAACGCTAGCCGAAACGTAGATGATATGGGTCGCGCTACCTGAATCCTAAATTCGAAACCTCGATCCGGTTGTCGAGAAAAAATATTCTGAATTTTGCCGTTATTCCGACCAGCTTTCACTTATGAAAGAGCCATAGAAATTATCATCTTTAAGCTTTTGCGTTTCATACGTAAATATTGCAACTTTTAGCTATTGTTTTTCCATTCTTGCAAATTTTTATCAAATTGAAGAGCTAAAATTGGGGAAAAAATGTTTTTTTTTGTTCACTTTTTGTTCGTCTTTTTTTTGCTTTATATACCCGCATCCAAGTCTAGGCGTAAATAATCGATTATAACGGATTATTATGATAATTTTTTAACAATTATAATTGATTATAATAATCAAATTAGGTGTTTAAAGGATTATAATTGCTTATAATCGATTATAATTGATTATAGTTCTTACAAAAAAACCTTAGAATCAATTATAATCGATTATAATCTCTTTTTTTGCCAAAATTTTGTCAATTCAAAACTATATTCGAATTATTTCTGATGGGTTATTATTTTTGTGTCAATAAGAAAATTTCTAAAAGAGAGATCTCTTGAACACTTTGGTTCATCTGAACACAAAGTCTTACCTCGAAACAAAAGTTTCATAGAGATCCTTTCATACTAGTGGAAAAATTCCCGCGGTAGATGAAAAACAAATCTTCCGAATTACCCATGAAACTAAATCAATTTGCTGATGTTTTGGTGTTAAAAAGCTTAAAATGTGCATCACAAAACAACTCTAATGGGGAAGAAATGAAAACAAAACCTTATAAAATTTTTTCCTCATTTTTTATAGGAACCAACGTCTACAAAAACATAAAATATAAGCAATTTAGATGCAACTTCGAAGACAAAGTGAACAAACAAAAGGGATTATAATCAATTATAATCGATTCTAATGGATTTTTGTGCAAAACTAATGCAAAACTAATGAAAACTAATGATTGATCATAATTATATCAAAAAATGGATTATAATTAATCATAATTTGATATTAAAAAGAGAGATTATAATCAATTATTAATTGATTAAAATCGATTGTTTCTCAATTTTAGTAAGACTGGTACTAAAATCGTTAAGTAAAATCGCTAATGTTGTCTCAAAAATGTGTGGCTCTTAAACAGCTAACGTCTTTTGCTTCTCTTTTGTGTTCCGCAGCCACTAAAGGGCTATATTTTCGGTTTTCGGTTTTTTCTTTAACTTAATGACAGACTTGAATTTATCCCAACGAATGAACAATTATTGTGTCCAACTTTCAAAGAAAAAATCGTAAAAGTATTACTTGAGGTGTGTCTTGTTGGGGTTAAAAAACAATAATTGGTACAACTGTCTCAGTTTAATTGGTACTAACAGTGGGAGAAATAACAAACAAAGTTTCCAAGTTTCCAAGTAAATATAAGTTTCCATTGTAGTCCCCCTCCCCCAGTAAATTATGGCGCAGTTTCAATTGCGCAGGAAATTTTGGAAAAACAATTTGCGGCGATTTAGCTGTATCACAAGACAGCCATCATATGGGAGAAACACAAAACTTGCTATGCAACAGAAGGCAGAGTGGATTACTGAAAACTTAATATGATAATCTCACTGTCTTAAATAGACCGTCAGTGTGAGGATGAATTTAAGAGATGCGGAATGATGATGCCATATGGTCTTGCCTGCTAGTTGTGTTGTAGAAGCAGTGCTGGTGCTGCTGTCCGTCGGGGGTAGGGGTGGGGGTGGGGGGATGTTGATGGCGCGTATGCTGACAGTCATTTGTATGTACGCATAAAACATGAAGAAGGTGGGGAGTGTCAGTTGGCCTACGAGGGACCAGTAGCCTGCCCAGGTGACGAAGCCGGAGTTGAAGGTGATAACACAGTAGTCCTCTTCCGCCTGGTAGAAGAACACGTCGAACAGCACAGCTGCCAACACACAAACTGTTAAGTAGAGTTTTATTATGGTTTACGGAGGAGTGTATTGGATAATAAGCTACCTTGTCAGAAACGGTGAAACTTTTAAAATAGCGATAGAAATTGGTGCCTATTATACAAAAGAGTAGTTTTAGCAGAGAAACAGTAGACTGAATTATTCAAGGAAGGCCATATGGTGATATCCGCTGCCGGAACTTCCCTTAAACATTTAGAAACTTTTTTCGCGACATCAAAATTTTCGAAAACACGCCCTTACTGACAAAAATGAAATGCAATCGATTGCAAACAGATAATGTAGCAGATGTCTAAAAAAAATTGATTTATATCGACGTTAAATCGATTTACTTTGATACAAAAATTTAGGTTAAAAATTAATGTCAACCGATTCTAAATCGACTTAAATATTTTTCGTCAACCTTTCTTGGTTTCTTTTTCCAACGGATTTTAGCAACAAAAATCGATTGACATCGACTTTTAACAATATTTTTGTCTAGTCATTTTATGCAGATTGTACACAAATTATATTCAGACTTTCAATTGAGTATCAAACAGTAGAGGAATAGTGGAATTGAAATTTTAGCGTTTGCTTTTGAAGTTTGGCCTGGAAATAAACTATGAGAACAACTAATACCTAAAATTTCTGCAAGAGATAATGAAAATTTCTATTTGGTGGATTTTTCAAAATAATTGTTATTTATCAAACAAAAATGAGCTTAGAAAGTTGATAACGAAATTGATATTTGAAAAAATTTTGCGTTGTTTTACTTCTCATTTACCGCAGAAACCCTTAGTTTTGCACAAGTTGAAAGCAAATCTTTTAAACGCAATAGTTTGCCGTAACTTTTTCTCCTCGAGCAACTCTTGCATTCTGTAGCTCTGATGGAGGTTTTCCAAGTCCAAGTTAATTGAGTTTTTCACAATAAAGATTATCATAATTTTCACTACATTGGAGAAAACCAATTTAAATCATTTTTCATTCAATAGCATCGATTTTTTCGAAACCATAAAAATCCATTTAAACCATTCTAAATCAATTTACGTAGCTAATTGTGCTATCATAAAAGGTTTCTATACAGTTTATTATCTGTATAAAAATCGAATTAAATCAATTTCAATCTCAAGTTAATTTGTCAGTGTGGGCGTCTAAAGTCATCCTAAATTTCTACATGGTAAACCTTTTGCTTACTAAAATAACAAATTTTGACGAAAAATAAACTGAAGAGAAAAATACTAAACGGAAAATATGCTAAAGATTTGCTTAAAACATTTTCTTCGTAATCAAACCGAAAACTATTTCGATAATTTGAGTTTGGCAAGCGACACTGATCAGCTATCTGGAACCCAAAAATTAGCAACGTTAGAAATTTCAAAATGAAAGAATATTATTAAAATTAATTTGGAAATGTTTTAGACTAGGTTCAAAGTTTATTTGAAAAAAGTCTAAGTCGCTGTGATTTTTTTTGTACAGTTTCCTAATTAAAGATATTTTTGTAATGTTTTATCACGTGTGTCACTTTTTATACGCTAAATTTTTTCCTTTCGTTGTTATGAAATTGATCACATTTATACTTTTTAGTTCTTTTCTTAGAATTTTTTCGTTTTTGTTTGTTTGTGGTACATTTGTTTTGTATGTAATAAAAAAAGTTGAACAAATTTTGCCTTCTCGTCTCTTCAACCTTATTTTTGAGCTATTTTTCCTTGAGAGCTTCTTTTTCTCAATGAGTAATTTTGCTGTTTCTGCAGTATATTTAGAATTGATGTTGAGGCGCAGCCGTATTTTAGTATTTCTTTCTGATATGTTGTTTGTATGTAGTTTTTGTATACTCGTTTGAATTGCTCTGTTGAAAACATATTTCTGATTTGGTAGAGAAATGACATGAGTTTTCAGCACTGAGTTTTCTTTTTTCAGTTATACAAACAGTGAAACTCGAGCTGCAATCAATTTGATCAACTAGTTATTTTACATCATTTTCTGTTTTAATAATTTTTTTTTTGACAATATGTTGCATAGTTTTTAAAAATTTCTTTGATTTTGTTGTCCTGCATCATTGTAAGTTTTTTTGCCGCCCATGCTTTTATGTTGCTCAAATATACGTCATAAATTTGATCCATTACTTTGCCATATATATTAGTGAAGTCTGCAAAATAAGTTTTGCTGATTTTTGGAATCTCCAGAAGATCTTTGTTGTAAGATAGAAGCAGAAATTGATCTAAAAATTATCCAAGAGGGAGGACTGCCTACTGATGAGAACTTTTTATTTGACTTATTGATTACGCTTTTTTGAAAAATTTAGAAGCAAAATGTGCTCCCTCTCAACTTATTAAATGAGAGTTTTTGGAGCAGGATCCAACAGTTTACAGTATCAAATGCTACTGACAAATCAATAAGTGTACAAAACAATGTTTGCTCTGACCAGAAATCTCTCAAGTGCATCAACTGCTGATCTTTCGGACAAAAATCCTTTGTTTGATTGAAATTACCTTATTTTTGAGAGAAAAATTTCAATTTTTGTAGTAAATTCTTGTCTGAATACTCTTTTAAAGACTGACGAAGAAAATGATTGCGTTTTTAATGTGTTCAAAATCTCATTTACATATTTGTTTTTTGGAATAGTTTTAGCATTTTTAAAATATACCAGATAAGATTTTTTTTCAGAAATTCGATAAAACAAAACTGTGCAATTTGAACAGATTGCCGGGCTACTATTTAAAAAAAAAATTAGGGAATTGTAGCAATCTTGTTTTAGTTTGGCTTGTAACATTTTAACGGATTCAAAAATTTACTGATCTGTCACTTAAAAAGATAGTATGTCATCGATATTTTTTTAATCTTTTGCTTTTGCGTTCTCTTTTAAGATTTTTCAGCCAAATTGGGTCCAATTTTAAAAATCATTTTTCCTTAGCTGATCTAGTGCTCAAAAAGAATTGGTCATATTTGTCTTCAGTTTTCCTGGCCTTACCTTCATGTTAAACTCTATGAAATCTTCTGTTGCTGTTGGTTTCTTGTTGTAATTAGTAAACGAACTTCTTACCATTGATTGAATTTTGATGCGCTGAGTTTGACATAAAAAGATTTTGGTGCATCTAGGGGAATTATATATTATATATATATTAATGTGTAGATATAAATTGTAAAGAGATAATTATTTCATTCGTTGCTTGTAGCTGATTTTTGTGTTTTTTTTGTAGCTGAACTCTACTTCTTCTGTTAGCTCTGTTTCACGCGTAAATTTATGATAATCCAGTAAAATTTTCTCGCGTATTTTTTTTGTTACTCCAACTTTTGATGATACCATTTTAAAATTCACAGATTTTCATAATCAAAATCAATCAATTTTGGCAGTAGTTGATAGCGTGGCTTCTTAAACTTTTAGCAGAAATTGAATCATCATAGCTGTTTTTTTGTTCAAATTTTTTCTACCAATTTTGAGCAAAAAACAGTCGAGATGATGCGATGATGAAGCCACTCTCATAATTTCTAACAAAACTTGGTACAGATAATAACAACATGGGAAGCGATTTCCGACGAATGAAACCATTTTTGTTTAAAAATGTATAATAATTTAAAGATGAACATTGAATTAATTATTCCATTCCCCGCAGTTTTAATACAGAAATTTGGCGTTACTGATAGTTCGAACAGAATTTTTTGTGAACCTAATTTTTTGATGGACCATGTGGTCGTAAGCCAGGTGAATTGATCCACATGGTCTGACTCCAAAATCCTTTCATCCACAAGGACTAAAACCCAACGTTTCCGGTCATCTCGGTCTGAACCCGGATTTCAGTCATTACGACTTGAAATTAGATTTTCTCAGTCCACACGGGTTGAACATATCATATTTTGATCGCAAAGGTCTGAAAAAAAACGCGACCCGGGCAATGGGAATCGCTTCGTGTGAATTACAGTTATCGTGATCACAGATCAATTTGGACATAATAAATTTAGTTTTAATTCTACAGTTTAGCTAGAAAGATACAATAGTACTAGCATAGCAAGTGCTTCTTCTTGTTAATATCAGCGAAAATGTTTAAATTGTAATCGCTGATTTTTGGAGAAACATCTGAGAAATATCTGTCGAAAACGATCAAAGGTAGGTCTTTCCTGGGTTTGAGATACCTGACCCAGGTTAAATTGGAGCCAGTCGTTGTTAAATATGCAGAACTCGTATTATTGTCAATGGAAGAGTGTAGGTTATAGTGACAAGTACTTACGGAAGGGGGGAATGAGCCAGGCAACAGCCAACTTGGCTATCAGGAAGCGTTTGTTTGAGTACAGCCTCTTGTAGAGCATGGGGAACACGACTGCAAAGTATCTCTCTACGGCAATGACGACTAGATTGAAGATGGAGGCTGTGATGAAGACCCAGGCTGGGTAGTCGCTGCAGAAGAGCACACAAAACAGCTTCCCCATTCCCCCTGTGCCCTTCGGCTTCTCCAGTCCTGGGATACCATCACACACGGCCAACGCCAGTCCAGTCACTGTAGTGCACAACAGAACTCGGATCTACTTAGCAATCCCCCCCCCCTATTGTACCTACTAAAGAACCTCACCCCCTTTCTTGAAAAGGGGGGGGGGGAGATTGTTAAGTAGATCCCAGAACTCACATCCTCAGCAAAACACACGCAACGAAAAAAGTTGCATCAAATTGCCTCAAAAATACATTAATGCACCTTAAAAACACCTACTAATAGTTAGTGTATCTTTTTATTGCCTTAAAAATCTAAACGTGTAAAATCCTATCATTAAATTAAAATTTTACCTATCAACACCTTAAAATTTATTAATTTATTTGAAACAATAACTTTTTCGGTACCACTCAAAACGGTATATCAACATTAAAAACAATTTCAGGCTAATATAACAAAGTAGTTTTCGAGTCGATCTAGTCATAACTTCAGTAACAATGATAATTTCACACAGATATGGAACGGGGCTTCGCATTCATTCCCATGCAGAATTTTTTTTTTAATGTCGAAAATTGAAACACGTTTTTAAAAAATACATTCAATGACAAAGAAAACATTTGAACTATTTAATTTCCGCGAAAAAAGCACATTACGACGCCAAGTTCGGTTTTATAAATTAAAAAAAGTTAAGCCACTTGTTTCTGCATTCAAATACAAACTGATCTGAATATCAATTCCTTTTTTCTTGCCCCAATTGCTCTTTGTCCAATCAACTGCATGCTAGTAAGAATCAACACTCTGCTTTATAAAGCAGGTATCAACTCATTTAAGCAATTTCTTGCGAGACTTTGAAACGATTTCAACTGAATGTAAATATTTTTTGTACTTAAACCAGGCGCGGATCTAGGAATTTCTCGAGGGCGGTGGCGGACTTTAAAAAAATGTTTCACATATTTTGTCGACTTTTTTTAGGTCGACCAAATTGATTTTCTGAGCTCTCCCAAACCACTTTAAAGACCGTAAGTTGGCAGGCCAAAAAAAAACATACCAAAAAAAACAGGCCAAAAAAGGCACTTTTAGGCTTTTTTGGAAAATCTCGACCAAAAAATCGCGTTTTTTCTTTCGGCTCGCGCTCGTTCCCCCTCAAAATTAGTATAGATTGGCGCCGAGGGCACCTTTAGAAAAATTTTAAGGTCACTCAGTCAAAAATGGGTATCTCAAAATAGTACTAAGGGGCGCCCCTGCGTTAATCCAAATTGAGAAAAACGCGTTAAGAGTTTACAATTTTGTTCATTTTGTCCGGTTCATTTAAATCAGCACAAAATACATTAACTGAGCAGATTCTCGTTATGATTCTTATTTTTTGCTGAGGATGAGACGGTTAGTTTGAGTGATAGTGATGTAAGTACTGACATAAGTCCACTAATGCGAGGTTAGTGATGATGTAATTGGCCGAGTTCCTGGGTACTCTTTTGGCGAGGAAGAAGAAGATGGAGAGGGAGTTGCCACAGAGGCAGAAACAGATAATGGCCCAGAGCACCACCAGCTCTCCAGCGGGTTTGTCGGTAGACGAACAATGCTCGTGTTCATGCCGACCTGGACCGTGCACAGCAGGGGATGCAGAGGTCACATTACTTGTAGAAGTGACCACCCCAGTACTTTACAGTATACAGTCCACTACGCATACATCTGTTGCAATTTAAGTTGTAATAATCTATTTTAATCAGTAATTGGTATAGGGCGTATGGTGGGCTTCAACCTCATTAAGTCGATTGCGATCCCATCAAAACCAAAACATTTGCAAAAAGACACGAACATACACATTATACTCGCATAAAGGTTTTTTTTCTATTTTATTGCAGCTATGACTAGCCAATCAAGTTTCGCCTCACTAAATTTTTTATTAGAATTGTAAAGCAATATATTGTGCCACTCAATTTAAGCATAATTATTTAACTATTGAAACATTATTATACTCTTTTTAAACTTTTACATAAGATAAGAGGCTGATTTTAATAAAAACTTTATCAGCGATTGACCCAATAACTCATACTCAGTCAAACCGTTTTTGAGAAAAACGTTTTTTAATTATAAAGTTCTGAGCCTTATCCGGCTAGCGTAAAGAAATACTTAGTTTTCTTCGGCCAAAACTTTCAAAACGCCCAAGAATTAAATTTTGACAGGTTTTCTCAAAAATATTGCTGCGGTGCAGACATTTTTGCAAAAGTGGGTCTTATGGTGCTTTTAAAAAAGCTTGGAACATGAATATGGTGGGGCAAAAATTGACAAAACTTTCGCAAATATTCGAAGTCACTTCAAATTGAAAATTCAAAATCATTTCAGTCTAAAAAAATGCGTTAGAAGATGAGAAAATCATTCTGTGCATGAAACTGATTTTGGGGGTTGATGGCTGAAAAATTGAAGAAAAAGTCTCAAAGGGAGCAAATTTCTGCTTAAAAATGGACACAATTTTGGAAAAAAAAACATCAAAAACTGGTCTCTATAATTTTTTCAAAATGAAATTGTATGCAATTTTTTAAGCATTGGGATACCAATGCAGGGCCGTTGAAATCGTCATGTTTTGCCCGGTAGTAAGTCTTTCTTGTTGATGTTTGATAACTAATAACAGACATGGCAATACGGGTGACTGTGTACTGCTCGAAGATGGCGGGCCAATCCATCGATATATAGTAACTTGTGGGAGTATAACAATATAAATTGCGGTGAACAAGAACAACAGTTGTATCTTTCGAAAGAGCGCAAACGAAGATCGATGCATTCGCCTAACTGACGACAAGCGTCGCTCTCTGATTGGTCCCAAACATGCGCTCAAGTTGATGTTCTATGGTGCTTATTGCCATACAAGGACAAGCCATGAAAAACACAGCAACAGCAGATCAAAATAGAATCTGATTCATGTTTGTTCGATGTGGTAATTGTGATCTACCTGATTATTCGCAAACAATAACTATTATTTTGCTAGAAATGCCAATGTCAGTGCGCGGCCAAAAAGAATAGTCGTCAGGGTTTTGAAAGGAGCAAAAACTCGAAACATACCTCAAGCCACCAGCGGATTTGGGGGAGGGGGGACGGACCCCTCAGGGATTCGACCCCCTGCCGACCAAAAGGGTCCGCCTTAGTACTAATTTACTAGCTTGAGAAATCCATTTTTGACAGACGGACCCTAAAATTTTTCCAAAGGCGCTCAAATTTATAAATTTTTGAGCGGGAAGTGCGCGCCAAAAAACGCAATTTTTTGGTTGAAATTTTCCAAAAAGCGACTGAAAACGCCTTTTCTGGCCTGTTTTTTTTTGATTTGTTCAAAATAGGGTCTTTCTAGTTTTATGGGAGCACAACGAAAAACAATTTAATCAACTTAAAAGAAAGTCTACAAAATTTTCGGCATTTTTTTGAAAATCCGCCCCCCCCCTCGTGAAAGTTCTAGATTTGCCACTGCCTCGAGCGCGGTCGAAATATATCCATATTACGTCGAACACGGTCAAAACATACCCCGAGAATCATCGAAACATGCAAAATACTTGGTCGAGCTCTGTCGAAACTTACCTCGAGCACCGTCGAAACGTACCTGGAGCAAGGCGAAACATACCTCGCGAACGGTCGGAACATACCGATCGTCCCGCGGTAAAACAAAGTAAATTACAATAATTTTTGCCAAACGTCACAAATATCTTTTTTAATGTTTTCGACTCAATTCGAAGAAGCAAAGTATTAAAAAAATGAAAAAAATTCAAAATTATTCTATTTCACAAAGCACTTAAATTGCAAATAACCGCTGCAATTTCTGATAAAAAGTCATCCTGATATATTACCCGAACAGCATAAATTATAACGCTTAACTTAGGTAACTCATCCTAATCGAAAATCGAAACGTTTCCGAATTTGATCGACAGTTGAAACATTTCTTGGTTGGGGTGAGCATGGTCGAGCTTATTTTTCTCGGTCGAGAAAGTGAAAACATAACCAAATTTCATCGAGACGGTTGAAACATACTGATATTTGGTCGAAACGGCCGAAACCGAAAAAGAGCACCTCGACCTTGGAAAATTATATTATTGCAAAAAACGAGGTGAAATGAATGAAGAAATGTTGAAGTTTTTTTATTCGAAACTTTTGTTAGAAACGCTTATTTTACATCCAAAAAGTGAAAATTTTTATATATAGAAAGAAAAAAAAAAACGTTTCATATTGGTTTGCATCCTTAATTATGGCATAGAAAAAACACACATTCAGGGTTATTACCAAACTTTCTTTTTTTTCTATTTTTCATTGTTTTTTGCGGAAAAAATTCTGTCTTAGTACTTTTCTGGTAAAAAAAAAGTGAAGATCTATAATGGGAAGTTTTTATGTTGGATGGTCAACCCGCGCGTTTACACACAGTGCATGTGTGCATAAGCAGTGTTTCCAAAGTTCTTGCAAATGCGAAGCTGCGCTTGTGGTTCGGAAGGAATACGTGCGGAAATTTGAACTACTGAAACACAATAGTTTACAGACAGAAAGGACTGTTTACATACTGTTATACTCAAACACCCCAAGTTACTTTCAGGTTCTTGTCCTTTTTTATGAGTTCAGAGCAATCCATCCGTGATGAATTAACTGTCTATACAAATGCGGTCACTATATGTATTCGAAAAAAAAAAAACTTCATTCGGTGAGGGCCTCTGCTAACACCAATTTGTTGACTATGCGTAGCTTACAAGTTTGCGACTGGTTTCCAGACCAGTGCAATTAGTTTTTAGGCTAAAAATCGACCAAGTTGCATTCACATCCTCCTGTCTGCACCATGTTCAGACTATGCATTTTTGATTGATGACTGTGAAAACTGCAAATTAATTGCCGACCCCGAACCGGGAACACAAACTACCTCAAGTTGAAGCAAAGGAAATCCATTGCGAAAAATGTCAAACAAGCTGCAATCGTTTAGGGAAATGAAATATGTTTCGGTTTATCGACAATCATCAGGCTTGATACCATGCAAAAACAAAACTCCTCAATCAGAGCGAAGCCCATATGATTTAGACTGCCCTTCAACGTCTTGGAAATATATTTTTTAAAAAACTGTATAAAAAAAATTGCTGAAATTTACAAAAAAGTATAATTTTGAAATTTTCTTCCAACTTTTTTGAACAACTAGACATTTTTGAAAAAATTCTCACAAGTGAAATACATTTTTTGAATTTGAGACCAAGGGCATTACTCGTTTTCAGATGGTATAACAGATTCCGTTCAAAAAAAGCAAGACACTAGTTTCACTAAAAGTTGCGATGGGGTCAAAAAAGAGGCATCAAATCTCATCCTTGATTATTATTTAATTGTTTTCAAGACAACATTTTCTTTAGCTAAGCTTATCTTTGTTTTTGAGAGAAAATGCGATGTTTTTTTTTCACAGAAAAAAGTTCATCTATAATTCTGTCGACTGCAGATGTAATCCAATGTAGGGCCCTTAAGCCTTGAGCCTTATAACTCACTAAGCGTGAGGCGACGTTTCCCAGCAATTTTGAAAAATGACAGTTCGCCAAACGTCAATTCGTAGAGATAGCGATACGCTGCATTCCGGTTTTACTAAATCTTTTTATTGGTAGGATTTAAAGAATACTATGCAGTGGTTTTGAGGGGTTGAAATCTCGCGATCTAGAAATTCAATTAAATGCTGATCTAAACAGAAAAAGGGCTCTAAACACCAAAATAAAGGAGTAGCAATGATGTTAATTCAAAGCAGGCAGCTTATAAAATGCCTTTGATTTTAACCATTCGGTTCAAAATTTTATCAAATCATTTCACTTCCTGATTCAAGCACCTCTTTAAATTTTTCATAAGGGTCAAGGAAAACAGCAACTTGACCTCGAAGGAATAACTTTCAATGTTAGCTGCAATAAAAGCGTAGTGAATAAATCCGAAGATCATAAGTGTTCATGATTTTATTTGAATTTCTCTTTGCCTTAATACATCAAAAATATGACTGCTAGGCGTGCATTTCAAGGGGGGGATGTGAACACTCAACAAAGCAAACATGAAACCGCTTCAGCGCTGTAATTTTTTTTCAAAAAAGGACATTTTTTTTCAAAAATTTCATTTTCGTATGACAGAGTTTAAGCTACAGCGTAAAAATTACTATTACGAGGAGTACAAAACAGCACTGGGTTAACCCACTCCAATTAAGATGAGAAGGCTGCGGATGTTTGCCATGAAGCAGATTTAAGCTTACCCGGTATAAGTCACTAGCAAGAAACTTTAACGAACTAGTGGCTCCATCTCTGCTCAACAAAGGATATTGCAGTTGCTTAGAGTTCACCAAGAGCCTAAATCTTGATTATTTTTCGTTTTTGCTTCAGATTTGGATGAAAAAGACTGAAAGTTTACTATTTTGGCCAACAAGTTTTCAAAGATATTTGCGAAGAATACAGTGTCATTCATCTGGGTTTTTGTAAGTGTGCTTAGCTCTGTTTTACCAAGTTTTTTTAAGCAATGCTTAAGGAATCGACAGTTTCATTAGTTGCCAGATACAAAATAGGGATCCTCCTCAAATTATTAGTTGCTCTTGCAACCTGAGCGTTTTTTGCCGAAATCGACATGACTGCGTTATTCATTTGAGTTTGGCATAAACGCTGGGGTTGTAGGTTAAACCTCCGGAACTTCAAGCCGAAATTTAAATAATAGAAGCACCTCAAAACGCTAAAACTTTATCAGTAAAAAGTTATTTTTCAAAAATTAGGGAAATTTCAGTTCATAATAAGCGTTATTTATAACAGCGCACCACTTAAGAGTAGCATCAGATAGTAAGACCAGCCGGATTTTGTAAAGCCTAATTTATACAAATGAAAATCTCCGTCACCAATGTTTTAATTATTCCCAAACATCAATTAGAGGCTCAAAAATTATGAAAAAGCCAATAACTCGTAAATAAAGCTCATGAAATTGAGAAATTCTTCAAAAGAGTTTTCAAATTAACCATATTTCATGACTTTTTGACAAAAATGAGCGGCTTGAAGTCTCTATTGATACGATTCTGCTTGAAATCCCGTCGGCTTGATGTCCCACACCCAAACACTGGTGGAATCCCTGCATGGGACCGAATGAGCGAAAGTAAAAATCAGCCAATCAGATTTCAGTAATCTAAAATTTGGAAAAAAAACGTGAAAACTGAGAGAAAGTAAGCATTTCCTGGGACTAAAGTTTGATATTGGCCAAATATAAAAACGGCAGAGCAGAATAATGTATAATTTTTAAATTGTCAAAGGTTGCGATATGAAAGATACAAAATAATGCTTCATTTAATTCATTATAATTGAATGGCAAATGATTCTCTTTAAAATTTGATTTTCGGCTAATTTTGTTTTGGGTATTTCGCTCGGGGGCTATTCTCATGCGCGAAAGACCAAATGGGCAAAAAACTCGTGAGCGAAGGACCAAAATCAAAAGTAGCCGAAAATCAAATTTTAAATAAAATCAATTGCCATTCAATCAAAATGAATCAAATGAAGCAATATTTTGCTTTTTTCATAACGAAACGCTTGAAATATAAAATTTGTTTCAATTCGGCGGTGGTCAATGACAATTTGAAAATTTTGCGTATTTCTGCCGGTTTTATTTTCCCTTGCAGGAAACAAACTCGGGTCTACGGCGTTTAAACCTACCTTATTAGTCATTGTACTTTTTCGATATGAGATAGTGGACCTTATAATTTACTTAGATCAAGCTGTTAAGTAGCCACATATTAAAATAAGTCGCGGTGGTCGAAAAAATTATTCGCGGTATAGACAAAAACTTAGTCGCGGCGGTCAAAAAATTAGTCGCGGCATAGTCAAAAAATTAGTCGCGGCATAGTCAAAAAATTATTCGCGGCATAGTAAAAAAATTAGTCGCGGCATAGTCAAAAAATTAGTCGCGGCATAGTCAAAAAATTAGTCGCGGCATGGTCGAAAAAATGAAACTTCTTGCACTATTTTTTAAGAATGGCAAAGATATCAGAAAACGACTAAGTTCGACCATCTTACGAGTCGGTAAAAGCCTTCTGCCACTTACAAATTACTTTCTTTTTTCGAAAATCCGCCTCTCGGATTACAAACTCCAGACTAAACTCTGAAAAAAATTTTTTTTTATTGTCTAACTGGTCAACAGCAACAAATTCGCTATTCAAATTCAAATCTAAATAGTTCGGCTCAATATGAACATTTTTCGGTCATTCTGATTAGTTGTTTTCGTTCTATTTAATTCAAACGGGCAATATGCGAAAGCTTATAATTTTTGTAAAAAAAATATTGCATTTAAAAAATTGTTGCGAACTCAAATCAATAATATTTTTGATATAGAACATAAGTGGATAGAATATTTTGACACAGACGAAAACGGGCAAAAAATGGTCTTTTCAAAATTTATAACTTGTTGTTTCTAAAACTTGATCATGTAAATTGATCTGATTTGCCGAAACTAATCAAAATCAGAAGAAAAACTGTCAGCAGTTTTTCCTAATTTTGTCCCGCGTATAGAAGAAAAGACCCGGGAGCCTTCATGAAACAGACCCGGGAGCCTTCATGAAACAACACTCTTTTGGCTTAAAAATATCAAATACATTTCGATATTATCATAATCGAGTCGTGAAACGTTTCTAAAAGAATCAAAGGGTAGCTAGGTTGCGAGGAAAAGCGTATGGAAAACAGTTTTAAAGATATTTATTTATTGATGTATTCGATAATTCTGTTGAAAATTTTCAGTTTATAGTACAGGACATATTGTTTGAGAATACTTTGAAAATACAATAACAGCAGCTGAATTTGTACAGCAATGCTCGAATGTAGTAATTTTCGCCGATGGAAATTGAATATAAAAATTCAGAATTGGACGATGCATCTAGATGACATGTTTTCCATGTCTTGTTGTTTTTTACCAAGGTAAGTGTGTGCGTTTCTTTTTGCGTGTTAAGTAAATATTCTATCAGTAAATGATGTTACTAGAGTCCAGCCACTGATGGTATGTTGAAGGGGTCTAGTCTGGAGTACTCCACGAAGGAACAGGTCTTGTTTTCGCCCCTCAGTCGGGAGTTCCTGCTCTTAATCTCCGTCGACAGCTTCAGAAACTTCTCCGGCAACTTATGACTCATGGCCGAAGAGTGTTGAGCCAGAGGCTGGGACGTGTTCACTGACAGAACACGACAGAGCAGCACTTGAAGAAACAGTTCGTCATTAGGCGCGAAGAAATAGTCAAACAGATTGTCCGGACAGGGTTCATTTGGTCTCGGTACCGGTTTGGTCATGGATGTCGCCACTCCAGCAATCAAGGACCCATCGTCGTACAAGTTCTTCTCGAAAGCCGAAGTGTGCGCAGTTGCTGAAAAAATTACAGCTGTCGCGAACCGAGTCAGTGCCGATCGGGTCTTGACGCCATCTGTGCACAGGTTTAAGTTACACTGTTCAGGATGAACGATGGTTTCGAAGAAGTTCTTGAGTTTGGAGTCGCTCTCGACGTCTCTGTCGATGCTGTAGTGTTTGCCCAGGTACTGGGACACCTCGTAGGAGATAACCTCATGCAATCGGAGGACGTCGTGCTGGTACAGGTAGTTGGGACAGGTGAAGTCGAAGCCGCGTGTCTCCAGATCCTTGCCGACATCGAAGAACGACTCGACGACCTCTCGTTCTCTGCAGTGGCTCGCAATCATTCCCATCGCATTGACTTTTCCGATTGAGAAAACATAGTCTGCGAATTGGCTGTCCTCTTCTGTGAATATTTTGCGAAGAAACACCGCCTTGTGGGCTATTTCGTTCAAGTATGGCAGCAGCAGTTTTCTCAGTGGGTGAGTTGTTGGGAGTGCCTGGTGAATGGCCAAACAGATGGACTCCAGGTAGAAGTTGCGGAGGAGAACGTTGAAGTACACATGGTGAATCATGAGTGCATTTGTAAAATACAATTTGGCCAGCCTGTAATTATTTTCCACCGATTTCGGAGTGTAAACGTCATTTATCTCAGACGACAGAATAATACCGTGCACTCTGAAACCTTCTGTTAGGTTCCCGGCAAATATGAGCACTGGTTTCTCCACGTTGCTCTGGTTGCGGTCGGGCTTGACGGAGCATGTGACGTACGACAGCTTGACACAAAACAAAGACAGTTGCGAGATCAAATCCACTAAGTCTCCCTCGGCATACAACTTGCGAATGGGAGTGGGTATCTGGTCGAGAGACTTCACACACGAGACCAGGTTAGGGGCGAGTCCAATGAAGAAGCGAAGACAGAAGTCGTTGTCGTTCTCGTAGTTCTCGAGCACTGGGTTGGGCAAAGGCAGGTATTTGCAGTAGACAGCCTCGACTCTGGACTTGGGATTTGTCTTCTGACTCACGACATGTCCTCGGAACGAACTGGTACAAGTGGCTAACTCAGCTAGCACAGTGCTCATTTTGGAAGGATTAGTTCGCTCCATGTGGGGAACAACCTCCCAATACCCTGGCAAGTTTCCCATTTCTACACTGGTTGCACTCTTCAGCTTCTTCTGCACTTTCCACTGGCACCTATCGTTCCGTAACTGGGGCAGTTCCAGGTACGTGGCAACCAGGCAGTCTCTCAGATAGTCCACCTGTCGCACCACCGACGGTTTCGTGGCATGGGAGAAAGAGTTCCCAGGAGTGGAGGAGAATTTAATCTTGAAGAACATTTTCCCGGTTGAACAGTCCACTTTGTACTTGGTGTCAGCAGATTTTGGGTTGTTGGGCAGCTCAAAAGTGATCAGTCCCAGCAACACGTCCTCGGGAGGCTCCAAATCAGATTCGGCTGCTGGGTCACTTTTGTCCCACAGTGCCACATTAACAACTGAGGATGTCGAGTATACACTGAAGTTGTAAGACTCATTCCACTTGGGGTTCGAAGTGCCCTTGCACACTGTGGAGCTGACTACCTCTCCACTGTCCACGGAGATCGAACAGTAGCTATCAATGGAGCATTCTCTGTCTAGTCCTATATCTTCTCCACTTACAAGAGTAATCTCTATTCGTCCAACTGGTTTCTTAAATAGGTCTTTCAGTCGCCGAAGTGAGTCTGAGCATTGGGCTTTCAATTGGGACTCCACTGTTGGTTTTATGACAGGCAGACAATCGAAACAGACTTTTAATTCTACCTCCGTCTCTTCGTCCGGCTCCCGATGACCAGGCTCCAAAGCAATGAGTACACAGTAGTTCGAAAACCCGTAAGGATTGGGGATCCTTTCCACAGTCTCAAACATGAGCTTGTAGTCATTGGGCGAAATGAATATAAGTTTGTCTCGAATGACCTGTCCGTGTCGGGAGAGTCTTCGTATGCAGCCCAAGTACTGTGAGATGTCGTCTCCTTCGAATTGAAGAAAACTGGATCGCATCCACCACTTCTCGCAGCCGATCCCGAAGTCCTGCACCAGGTCCCAGACGTCATCAATTTGTGCGCCGGCGATAGTAGCCTGCACTTCTAACTTATACTTACCTTGCATCACCGGTAGTACTAAATTACTTCCTGGATCCTCGTGGCCTGAATCGTAACCGGATGCCTGTTCGCCACCGGGAGACTTGGCGGGGGGAAGAGGATGATTGATTTGCTGGTTGAGTCCTTCGTAGTACTCCTTCATCCAACGGAATCTCTTCACGAAGTCTTTCTTCATCTTCTCCTTCAAGGTTGCTGCAAAGGAGAGGTTGCATGGGAGCCAAATGTTGCGATAGAAGACGTTGGTAGTGTCTCCTGGCTTCTCCCCACTCTCCTCTATGACCAGGAAGCCCCTGTAGTAGCTGCATCCGAAGAACACTGGAGACATGATCTCATACACCAATGTGTCCTCACTCAAGTTGATCTAATAAGCGAAAACATCACAACACACAACTCAACACAATACAATACAAAAAAATGCAACGACAACATGTACCCAATTTATCGTCACAGCTCGTAACACTCAGATCTAATTAGTTGTTTTAGTAAAACAAATTCAGAAGAGATAAGAAACTGAGCCAAAAACCACGAATCCGAAAAAAAATTCTTGAAAGATTTTTACAAGAATATTATTTGAAAAAAAAACTAAAAACGGACTACACCTATTTACTACCTAAAAAAGGGTAGTTTCGTTTGAATTTTCAAGAAAATGAGCATGCCTGAAATTTACCATTGACCATTCTGTGCCTGAAGTTTGTTACGGGAAAAAACCTAAAGCCCGATTGCAATACCCTTGCTTCTCGAATGGTAATTAAATATTTTTATTGAATAAAAAAGATTTGAAGGCAAAACACGTATCTTAGTCTAGGTAAAAGACCACAATCGTTTGATAATTTCTGGGAAAAGTGACTGATATGATGATCAAAAATCAACTTCTCATCTAAAATTGCTCAGCATGCTTCATTAAACTACTCACGCGAACCCACCGCAATAGTTTTTTACTCGACTGTTATCTTCAAAAAAATTTGTAAAACACTTCTCTTCAATGTGCTGACTGTCTCCAGGACAACTGTTAGAATTTCTGATCATTTAATAAGAAAAATTTGGGTTTAATTTTTTGTGTACATCATCACTAGGAAAAGTTATCCAATTAATTTTGCGTATCTCCGATTTGGTTCCGTTCAGAAAAAAAGCCATTAGACACAATTCATTTGAGAATTTGTCTCAGCTTGCGACGAGCAAAATTATCACAAGATGGCGTCGTGAGCGCTGTGCTCGAAATCTTGCACTTGACAAACTAATTTTAGCATGTTAGCAAGAATTTGGAATTCCTAGTTGACATATGGTGCGAGCATACTCTCTCACTTACATGATGATGATTTTTTTTCTCGATGATGACTGATAAAGCTAATTGCTAATTCAGCCTTTTTTCTCCAAGTGCGTTTAACCAAATTGGATCATCATGCTTGTTTTGCCGGCAGCGGAAAAATGGATGACGTCTCTCTTTCCCACAAAAAAAGGCCCAAGGTTGAATAGTGGGAGCTGTGCTGGGGGGTAATAAAAAATCATGCTTGTTTACAGGACCCCATGTGGTACAACTAGTCGTTCAACTTTGCGACTCGTTTTCCTCCTGAGTTTGTTCCATTTGACTAGCATATCTTTCAAGGTTTTGTCTAATTGATATCACAACAATTAGGATGATAGAAAAAACGACCTGCATGAATGAAAACTCAGTGAACACTTAAATTTTGTGTACACCATCAATAGGAAAAAGTTCTCCTATTAATTTGATATAATTAATTTGATGTAGTGATATAATTGTGATATTTGGGCGAACCCGTTTTTTGGGCGATCATAGCGAAGACTAGTTTTCACTACCCCCCCCCCCCCCCCTACACACATTTCAAAGTTAGTATATATTGGCGCCGAAGGCGCCTTTAGAAAAATTTTAGGGTCGGTCGGCCAAAAATGGATTTCTGAAAAAGTATCAAAGGGGGACCCTTTGGGTCAGCAGGGGGTCGAATCCCTGAGAGGGGGCGAGAGCGTACGCCCCCCCCCCTAAATCCGCCCCTGATTTTTATAGTTGTCAAACGTGTTCTTACGGCTAAATGAGTACTGTTACGATGTAAAGTATGAAGAGCAAGTCTGTTCACAATAGTTGGTGTGTTCAGCATGCAACACTTCATTGCATTATGGCAAGGATAAAATATTTTTTCAAAACTGAAATTCAAATTCGGGTGGTGTGGAAACAGTCGAAGCGATAGTTCGATTAGTTTTGGAAATGGTTCAGATGTAGTGGCGTAGTGTAATGGGCTTACGAGTGTGTTGACGGCACTCTTGGTCCCGGATATGATGCGGCGCTTGTCTATGCCAATCAGCTCCACCCCAGTAGCGCCCATGATCCAGTCTACGTTTCCCCAGTTACTCACATCGCGCCAGATGACTTCTCTGGGACAGCGGATAGACAGGCTGTACTTCAACTTACTCCCGTGCTTCTTTGCCACCCGCAACAACATGTAGTTGATACACTTCTCATACCTATACACGCAAAACATGCCTGACATTTTCAGTCAACGCATCTGAACGCATTTAGTTGGCTGATTATCATTACACTTTTGACTTCATTTGATATCCGGTTTAAGACATGGACATTTCAAGACAGATACATTTGTAGTCTGGAAAGGTTGCAATCATTTATTTGGCAAAAAGTTCACCATATGAGCTGTTCAGTCTCCTAGAAGTGCATAGCTTGTTGAAGAATTATAGCTCGCAAACTTATTAATCCAAAAGAATGGTTACTTTTAATGTGATAACTGTTGGATATTATTGATTGTATTTAATGATAATTTCACTAAAAATGTTATCATTATAAGGGATTAATTATCGTTTAAACACCTAAATTTAGCGCTTACAGTGATTTTTAATTTTGACAAAAACAAGAACAATTATAAATCGGTTCATTTCTCTTTACTGAGTGCAGGTAGGTTTAGAATTCGAGTTGTTCCAAGTTTTGCAAAATTTTGGAGATTATAGTTCACTGTAATCGAGTACAATTTTTTTAAAAACGGATTGCAGGTTCTTGGGTTAATTTTTATTTTGTCATTTTTTAGCCTGTCTGGATAAAATTCTTAGAGTATCCAACATATACGGTTACATATGGATCATAGTCTTACCATTGTTTAAATCAATAAAGTCAATTATTAATCGATTCAATTGATTATAATCGATTACAACCAATACAAAATAAAGAATCATATAACTATTTCCCAAGCCAAAAATTCCATGTTACTATCTTCCAATGCTAATTTTCACCTGCATGCTCATTTTTGTAATAAAGATCGGGGAGCAAAAACTGCCAATTAGCAATTTTTTGGGATTTTTTGGCGAGCTTTGAAGAATTTTTGTATGATGCTGAAAACAACGCGACTTACTTCTGCGTGGCGATGTATCATGCCCTCAAAATTACTTCAAAATGAATTGAGGCAAGCTAATTGCTTCAACTTTTGAAGAAAACGGAATATTTATGATTGGTGTGGTTTTTTTATTCAGTCATTTTTCGGCGATCGGAATAATAGTTTTTAAGAAAAAAATTATGCCTCATTGAAGCTATCGACTCCCTGAAATCAAATTTAAAAAGATATTTCACCTCCTATCATTTTTAGCAACGTTTTGGGAGTTTGAAATTTGGCAATTTGGCCATGCTCTGGACTAATTCATGCGCACTTTGAAGATTTTATCCATAATCCTGAAAAGGTAACGCGAATTATTTATGAGTGGCGAATCATCCCGCACAACAAAATCGTTCCAGATTGAATCGAGGCTAGCTAATCAGATCGGTCGTAATAAATTGCTAATTTCATATTGGCTTTTGAGCAACGGAAAACAAGCACTTTATAATATCTGAGTTATCATATTTTATCATAACTACCAGCTTATCATAATTTACCAAAAAATCTTGGAGAGCATTCGGAACATTTAGGGTTTTGCCTTGACATAATAGCAATTTTGTTGATTTTTACACAGAGCCAAAGCGGAGCTTCAAATCACAAACGATACAATGCAAGCAGATTGGAATGATCTAGTGTAAGCTGAATTAAAATTTATTGTATAGATTTCAAATTCTTCTATGAAAATTATTTTTATATGTTTTGAGCTTCTCCATCTTTCTATATCATTGCAATTGGTAGAACTTTGCAATAAATGATTGCGATGCCGAAATTCTTGCAGACCATCATTTTAATTGCAGTTAATTGAACTATCATTGCAAGCAACTACTTTTGATAACCTCTGGGCATAGCAGCCAATGACTGTGGTTGTATTTTGAACTTTGCGAAGAATGCAGTAGGAATGTGCGGGCAACTTTATTTACGGATTTCAAAAGAATGAATGTGGATTTGTAGGGATGTGCATGGTGTGTACACTTGGCGGTCGGATGTACATGTATGTATGTATGTATGTGTGGGTGAGTGTTTATAGTTGCCTTGCCTGTCGTTGAGGTTGTCGATGAAGTGCTGTTTGAGCTGGGTGGAGGCCATGTTGGTGAGGTCGACGTGGAACAGGAATGCAGTGCTGCTGTTAGTGTTCTGGGTGGTGTCCTTGTTGTCTGCAGTGGCTGTGGTTAGACGCATGCGCACTCTTGTCTCCCCACTGTGTGGCGAAGTGAACACTGTCTCCATCTCACACACGCCCTCCTCCTCATTGCTCACTTGTTTAAGTATTCGCACCCTCACCTGAACACATTCACATACACATACACATACACATACACACAGCATACTCAATCAGGCTCACAATCAGAGAAGAGTGCACAATAGTCATGGAGTAAATGAGACACAACTAGACTAGACATTGCGCGAGTAAGTATTGCATCTAAGAGTTTTGCAGTTAAAAACAACCTCCGAGCAGAAAAATCAAAAGCATGGCTCTATAAAAAAATTCTTTGAAAGTTTTCTAAGCTGCAAGAGCGGAATATAGAAAAACTCAATTGCAGTAAAGATGACACGGGCGAACCAAAAAACTTTTTAATGATCCATTAAGGGAAAAATAATTTCGCACACAAGCACTATTATCACAGATAACGGTTTTGAAATTCTCGACTCCCCCGCACACTAATTTTTGGCTAGTTCAAAAAGCTAAAGCCAAAACTTTACATTTTCATAAAGATCGAAGCAAATAGGTTGAGTAACTAGTAACCGTGAAAAAATTATTGTAACCCTAGATTGGAAACAATTAATTGATCTTTCGACTTTCGAAGAAATTCGGAAAATTAATGCTTGGGTGGTTTCTTATTCAGTCAAATTTCGGAGATCAAAACAATGAAACTTCGCAGAAAAAAAAACTAAGCCCCATTGAAGATATTGACTCCTTGAGTTCGAATATAAGAAGATATTTTAATTTCGATCCTTTATTTTAAGTTCTGGGGTTAGAATATTGCTATTTTGGCCATGCTCTGGACTATCTTTTGAGGGCTGATGAAATTTATTTAAAATTCTGAAAGCGTAACGTGTATTTTCTAATACGTAACAAAATATCCCTCACTATAAAATCTTTCCAAATTGCAATGACGCAATCTAATCTTTTGTCATAATTTCGTTCTACTCAAACTTTTACAGTTTGATATTGTCTAAAAATTATCATTCGGGGTTTGCCCTGACCGCATAAAAACACCTCAAGTAAATTTATTTTTTTACTAACTTCTAACTTTATTTAAAAAGAAAAGGGTACGTCCATTTCAAAACACTTGCTTTCGCACGTGTAATAAAATTTTTCTGAAAAAATTGAATTGATGGCTTTTTGATTTTCAAATACTTTTTCAGTTATCAAAAGCAATGAGTAAAATTTTAAATGGATTGCACTAACGACTAGAAAAAATGAATCATTATGTAACACAAACTGAATATTAAACTGAGACTTTAATATCATAATATTTAGAACTTCGACAATTTGCTGAGAATATAAACAATTTTGATAGTTACCAGAGTAGAATGCCTAAGCAACCTGTAGGCCTCTAATAATCGAAAATATACATGAAACTTGAAACAAAACAAACTGGTTTTTTGAAAATTGATAAAACAGAACTGATTGTTTTGTGAACAAAAGACATTAGAGGATATTGTTTTTATAAATAAAAAATATTTCGGCCAGAAGCCAAATATCTTGAGTTTTTATATTAAAAAAATTTAACTTTCATCTGACGTATTGAACTGTTTGGCGGATCTCGGATTTTCTCGAGGAGAGGGGCAAATTATCAAAAAAAAAGTTTGCCGACTTTTTTTCTTAGGCTGAAAAAATTTATTTTCTGAGCTTTCTCAAAGCGCTAAAAAGACCTACCTTATTTTGACCAAATTTTGAAAAACCAGGCCAAAAAGGCTTTTTTTAGGCACTTTTTGGAAAATGTTGACAAAAAATCGCGTTTTTTCGGGGGGCACTTTCCCCTCTGTTGTGATCTGATTTTATATCATTCATTTTAATTAATTCAGTAACATGTTTTAGCCTAAAGTTCAACTTAATCCACTTCTTCGGAGTGATCTTGCTCACTTTTTATCTAATGTTTTAACGATTGAATAATTCATTATTTTAAATTATTCGTATTCTTTTAAATTAGATTTAGTTACAGCATCAGCTTATTTTATCACCCAAGTTAGAAAAAATTGGCGCCAAAGGCGCGTTTAGAAAGACTTTAGGGTCGGTCAGCCAAAAACAGATATCTCAAAATAGTAGAAATGGGAGAGGGGGACCCTTTTGGGTCGGCAGGGGGTGGAACCCCTGAGAAGGGCGTCCGCCCCCGGGCCTTCTAAATCCGCTACTGCATGTGGTACCATAAGAAGCAAGGATTATGCGTTCAAATCGTTAGTATAGTCTCATTTGTCGTTCAGAGTGACGTTTTTCGAAAGCTATATATGTCGCAAACTAACAGAAAGGACCGAGATTTACTTAGATGAAAATTTTACTATAGTGGAAACCCAAATGAACAAGATACTGCGTGGTCTCACTGACTGGTTTCCGTTCCCTTCTGTTTGCCTTACCTTTTCTGGTCCTTGTGGAGCCTGTTCGTCGGTGAATGTGACCAGTTGTTTGTCTTCAGCCCTGCCATCCTTGTACTCGTAAAAGAGAGTGAGAATACAGGCCACAGGGTCCTGCTCAAACACCTCCCAGATGATGGAGCGGGGAGTCTTGATAACACACGTGTACTTGCACTCATCCATACTCCACACAATCACTCTGTTTTTTTTTTAAAATAATAATCAATCAAATCGCTCACTCGGTAGACTGCAATTACTTATTTGTTAAATCTGTTCACTTGAGCCTGTACACGATGCAGAAGAAGGCGTTTGAATCCTCGCAACTTCAAAGCTCTCTAGCTCAGCAAAAAATACAGCACGTAATTTGGTAGAATGCGATTGAAGCATGTGTGTAACGCACAGCACAGTAAAAGCACTATACCATTGCTTTCAAATTATATATTCATTCAATATTTTGAGCTCAAACTAATTAAAAAAACGCAAGCCACAGAACCATCTGCTTTAATTATTTATCTCGTCCATGACGTGTATATATAGACAGGCTATCAATAAAAACGCAATTTTGGAAACTTTGAAAATTGAATAAAGATAATTTTTAAGCTTTTCATATTATTTTACATACAAACAATGGTTGTCATTCCAGAGAATCCTGCTGTAACAGAAGACAGCGTTGAATCTGGTTATACGTTAAACCTATGTCTAAGAATTCATAGCTTGAAACTCTGAGAAAACGCAATTTGGACCAAAACTCCACTTGCCTTGGCGTCTTTGTCTTAACCACTGGGCCACGGCGTCTTTTATTGCACTATTTTTACGCACATTTCAGTCTTAGAATATCGGCATAAAAAACGCTTTAATAAAGTGGAAATAGCTAGATCATCTTTTTTTAATGAGAGCGTGAAATTTGGTCCAGGCTTTGCAATTAAAAAGAACTAGCGTGTAACGCACCCTCCGGTGCTGCTAAAAGCAATTGAGCAGTAGCATTTGGACGCAAGATATGCAACTCCTGAGAGTTCTCTGACAGCCCCATACTAAAGGGTTGAAATTTCAAATTTTGAAGAAAAAAAAATTTTCAGAAAATGTTTTGAAAAAACCAGAAAAAATGTCCTATCTCGAAAACTTCAAGGATTTGAGCAGTCATATTTGAAGGCTAAATTCACAACTCCTGGGAGTAACCTAACAGAGCCTCACTATTGATATGGAAACTTCAATCTTTGTTGAATTTTTTATACCTGAGTTTTGAAAAATTTTGAAAACATCCTGAAAAAACGTCGTATCTCGAAAACTACAAGAATTTGAGCAGCCATATCCAGATTTGCAAACTCCTGAGAGTACCCTCACAAATTCCAATAACAAGATTGATATCTACGAAGTTTTGGAACTTTTTAATATTTAAGTTTTTTTGGAAATTTCGGAGAAAATCATAAAAAACGTCATATCTCGAAAACTACAAGGATTTCAGCAGCCACAATTAGAGGCAAGATTTGCAAGCCCTGAGAGTACCCTCACAAAATCCAACAACAGGATTGAGATCTTCAACGTTTTGGAATCTTTTAAAATCTAAGTTTTGAAAAATCATAAAAAACGTCATATCTCGAAAACTACAAGAATTTGAGAAGTGAGAATTGGAGGTAAGATTCGCAACCACTGAGAGTACCCTCACAAAATCAAACAACAGGATTGAGATCTTGAACGTTTTGGAATTTTTTAAAATCTAAGTTTTGAAAAAATCATAAAAAACGTCATATCTCGAAAACTACAAAGAATTGAGCTGTCATATTTGGAGGCAAGATTCGCAATCTTTGAGATTACTCTGGCAGGACTACAGCGTTGGGAATTGCAGATTTTACAAAAAAATTCATATAAGTTTTCTAAAACATTTTTGAAAAAATCACAAAAAAACGTCATATCTCGAAAACTACAAGGATTTGAAGTCATATTTGGAGGCAAGATTTGTAAGTCCTTGGAGTACTCTGACAGCGCCCAACTACAAGATTGGGAATTTCAATATTTGAGAAATAATTAATTAAAATTTGAGCAGTCATATTTGGAGGCAAGATTCGCACTCCTTGAGAATACTCTGACAGGACCCAACTACAGGGCTGGGAATTTCAGATTTTGCGAAAAAAAATTATTAAGTTTACTGAAAAAATCAAAAAAAAAAAAACGTCATATCTCGAAAATTACAAGGATTTGAACAATCATATTTGGAGGCAAGATTTGTAACTCCTTATTCTGACAGCACCCAACTACAGGGTTGGGAACTTCAAGTTTTGTAAATTATCTTCTTATTTGAAATTTCTGAAAATTTTTGAAAAAATCTCAAAAATCGTCTTCTCGTTAACTAAAATGATTCGGGCATTCCAAATTGGAGGCCAAATTCGCAACCCCTTATTCAATATTGGGCTGCTTAATTTAAATTCGGTAAAATAACCAATAAAATCTAATTGGAAAATCGAAAAAAAATCTTAACCATTGCAATATACGATATAGCTTAAACATGCAAAAATAATACATTGAAAAAGGTTAAACATGGCGAGATAGAGAAGCCCGCATTTAAATATATAATAGATGACTAGTCGAAAAAATGGCCAATTCACGTTATAGCAAAAGGTTTGCAGGCTCACTTGCTTAAACTTGGACGTAAATACATTAAACCTTTGACCTTTGGCAAATAATAAATTTACTTATCCTTAAAAAGTTTCGTGAGTTTAGAAAATCCAAGAAGCTCGTTTAACATTTAAATATTTTTCGATCTCAATTTGATAGGAAAGCTAAGCTTACATTGAACCGCATTAGAAATGTTCATTGAATTTGATAACTTCGATTGACAAAAAGTTAACAAGGATAGCCGGTTACTGTGCAAGTAGCAGAGAATGTTCCGTCCATAGTCTTAAATAAACTTTTTTTTCACACAAAACTTTTTTCAAATCAGTGTGGTTTTTTCTGAGTGGCGCGTTAAAAAGATCTGAACAAAAAAATCAAATTTTGCCATATTCGACAGTCAGTGTAAAATAGGCATGTTGTACAACAATTGTCGTCGAAAAATGGCTAGAAAACAGAAAAAAAATCGTATAAAAAGTTATTAACTTTCTTTCTTGTTTTTCTTTTTGAATTTTTCAAGTGTTTGATTCCCAAAATGGCGTTAAGAAAACACCAAAAACTAACTTAATTCAAGGAAACTAAAATCGAGCATAAATAAATTATTGTAAACGGCTTACATTAAGCATAATTAGGCCGGTTCGCTCGCTTTACACGCTCGAAAACAGACGAAAAATCAAAATTTTCAGATAGAATTTTTTTTGAAAACCTTCTAAGGTGGTTCGAATTACGACTAAAAGGGCTTTACTATAAAACATAATTCAACCAGGTCCGATCATTTTGTTTTGATACATGATTTTGCATGAAAAACAAAAGAAAAAGGGGTAAGAAAATAAAACACCGCCGAATACAAAGTTCCTCCCCATTTTTAAAGGTCGGAACAACAAAGTCTATGCAAGCTAATCAGGCGATGAAAGTTAGAAATATTTGATTTTATTGTGATAGGGTGAAGTGTTTTGCGAAAAAGTTCTTCCGAGCAAACTATGACAATTTAAAACATTTTTCGAAATTTTTCAACTTGAAAAATCGGGAGAAACGTTGTATTCGGGTGTTTTAGTTTTTCTTTGTTTTCCAGGCAAAATCAGCTCACAAAAATCCTCATCGGAGAGGTTTGAGTGCTCAATCATATTACAGCCCTTTCAATCGTGATTTGATCGGCATTAAAAAATTTGAAAAAACTTTCCCAGTGTCGAGGAAAACAGGTTTGGAATTTTTGATTTTTGTCTCAACTCGAGCAAGTAAAGCGGGCGATCAAGCAGATTTATCCTTAATTTAAGCCATTTACAATAGCTTGTTTATGCTTCACTTTAACTTTACTGAACTAAAATTAGTTTTCGGAAATTTTTAATGCCATTTTAGGAATTAAAAAAGTGAAAAAATAAATAGATTTGTTGACTTTTTGTTGTTGTTCTTGTCATTTTTTTTCTAAAAATTGTCTTGTTTGCTTTTCTTATTCTGTTAGTCGAATATGCTTAAATTATAAATTTACGTCAGAAAAAACTTCATTAATTTGAAAAAAAAACTTTTTTCTTGTGAATTTTTAAAGACAATGTCCTTATTTTGCAAGGAAATTTTTGAGCAATGAGACTTTAAAAGAAAAAATTTTAAATGGATTTGTTTTGCATGAAAGTTTTTGAGCAATGAGACTTCAAAATAAATAGATTTCAATTCGATTTGCGACGGCAATAATTTCATTTTTTAACAAGCTCGCGACGCGACAAAACAGATAATTTTCTCGACAAAATGAACCTTTAAAGAATTTCAGGTTGTTTTGTTTAGCTTGGATAGCTAGCTAGGGTAGCTTCACAAAAACCTTTCAAATCAAACGTTAGCAGCATTGTAAACTTGATATTTAAGTTGATTCATAGCTTCAATAGCTTCGCAAAAAACTTTAGACGCACAAATTACTCTAAAAAGTAGACATTTCAAGATGTTTAAATCAAACCACAAGACAAAATTTGAAGTTATTTCAAGTCATTCGAAGAGTTTGAACTGCTTAGCTTAGAAGTAGTTTTTTGAGGCAAGCTTTTCAATCAAGGGATAAAAATTTGAAACAGTTTAATTTGAAATGATAATCTGCATTGGTTTAATGATAAAGTCTTTCGAAGCAAGCTGTCACCCAACAGTACTTTGAATAATTTCTTTTAGATTGATTTTATTCGCCAAAATGTTTATTTTTTAAAATAATAGATCGTCAAAGAAATTTGAAATATTTCAATTCTTTTGATGGAGTGAAAAGCTGCAAAAGATACATGAAAACAAAGATACATTGCAAACAATTCAATTGGTTAGAGAGCTCGAAATGGAGGGGTAAAACTATTAAAGCTAGCACTTCGAGCGATTAACATCGAAAAAACGAAACTTGAAACTCTACTCAATTAATAGCTTGAGCTGGTTAACCAACATTTAAATATTTAAGCAATCGTTGAAGCTTTGAAAAATTCAAGTCGACTTGATAGCTTGAAATGATACTTAAGTTAAAGTTTTTCGAAGCAAGCTATCATCAGATGAATTTTAAAGTCATTCAAGTTTTTCTGATATCTTGCAGCAATTCGCTTAAAATTAATGTTTTAAGGAAGCTAATCGAGCAAAGAAATTTTAATTATTTCAAGTTGTTTCGAAAGAATAAAAAAAAATCCCAAAAATTGTGAAGAAAAGTTTTCAGTTAGTTTTAATCCAAAAAAACTTCATAACAATTCAAGTTCGCTTATGGTTTCAATTAGTTCAACAGATAGTAAACTGTTTCAGCCATATATTGAGGTCAGCAATTCCAAGAACACAATTGATAAATATAGTAAACAAACAGTTAGGTTTTTGAAATAATCTATCA